AATCATTGAGTTGTGTAATATAACAATTGATCATAACTAATGAGACCGAGTTTGTTGATCATCATCCCAATTTGAGTTTTGTAATTAATAACAATAAATTTGGATGCTTATGTCTCAATTATTCTTGTGGAACTCTGCATTTTTAGGTAAATTACAATTATTTCATTTTGTCACTTAATTGTTTATTATCATAATACAGATAATACATTTTAAATGGGACTAAACATTAAATTCTACTCGTAATTTAATTATCAATATAATTATTTGCGTCTTAGTTCACTTGCATAATCAAGGTCAATCCATTGGTGACAATCCAGTTTGATGGCGGTAGCGAATTTTGGCGGCGGCAACTCCGATGACGGCGGCATACAACGACAAGATTCTGACTGATCGGCGGTGGAGATCTGGGGTAATTTTAGCGTCTGGCGGCGGGGGTCCACATTCAAAAGTGTGTGAACTTTTTTAAAAGTATATAGACTTATCCTATGGTGCACTGATGCTTCGCCCTGAAGTCATATCCTCAAATTCGATACGTATCTGATACCAATACTCGTCGATACACGTTATGTACGTATTGAGCATGTATCCATAATTTAATAAAAGTATTGGGCTTATTTTAAAAAATATAAAAACTTTCGTTACCCGTATTTGTGGACGGATACACGTATCTAACTACATAACCCTGATTTCACACACGACTAGATGATGATAACATTTCTTCTTCTTCTCGCATCTAAAAACATTTTAATTGTGAATGTTGGTTAGTATCCTTCAATTATGTTAATGTTTTCACTGCATGAGGATATGTAATCTGTTATTAAAATATGATACGGTAGCCTAGATGGACAAAAATGCCATGCCGCTGTCAAATTCAAAAGCAATTCACGGCTCCATCTAATAGTAGTACGGCGTATAAGATACTCCATAGTCATGTCCATTCCTAGGACTATTTAATACTACGTATTTTTAATTTTTAATGACATTGGGGTTTTAAGTATAAAAGCCCATATTTAGTTTATACGGATTGAGATGTATCATGTATATATGTATTTACAAATTAAAGAAGCACCATTTAGAAAATCATGTTCACATTGAACATATGGAGTACTCTCGAAATGATTTAAATTGAAAAGATATACGAAAATCCTAAATTTTAAGATATGTTGATTAGTGTATTGAATTATTTAATACTTTAATAATTTTTTGCTCCAACCTTTATAGGATTTTATTAATTAAAAAACACTCTATTAATTTACAAGATTAAGGATATGTTAATATTCTAAATTAACTGATATCATTAAGTCTTTGTTTCTAAAAATTGAGTTGCCCAAAGCTATGAAGTCATGAAGAGATTATGCTAAAATGTTTTAAATAAGGCTAAAGGGTCAAATAGACCTCTGTATACTTCTGGATTGTTCAATTTGCCTCATGAACTAAAAAAAAACTCTAATTCACACTTTGAACTCGATAAAAGGATTCAAATTTCACTTTTTGCAAGTTATGATCGGTCATCGCCACATCACCAGGTAGGGTGTCAATTGTGCACATGACGTGGCAACTTACCAAATCGTTCAATTCACCCCCTCAACCCGTAAAAGCTTCAAAATTACGAAAAAATAGAAATAAAAAATAATTTTGACCTCTTAAATTGAGGGTGTAAATTGAACAATTTGGTCGGATTCAGGAGCTTATTTGACCCCTTAAGTTGTCACGTCAGATGTACAGTTGGCAATTTACCAGATGACGTGGCAATGATAGGATCATGACCTGCAAAAAGTAAAATTTGAATGTTTATATAGAATTCAGGGTGCCAGTTGAAACATTTTGTAGTTCAGAGGTAAATTGAGCATTTCGAACGAGTATAAGGGCATTTTTGACCCTATAGCCTTTAAATAATGATTGACACATAAAACTCATAAAATTCTATTGACGTGCAAAAAATGGAGTCATATATCATAAAAATTGAAACTAAAAACTAATAAACTTATGCTTGAAATGCCTAAACTAAAAATATATGATGTGTTATTAAAATATTTCATACTTAATTGTTTTTGGCTCAAACATTTAGAGCGATTGAATTAATTAAAAAAAGTACTCTTTATTATAATTATAGGGAATGTCAAAGGAAGATGTTTATTATTTCTAGTGACTACAACTTCATATTCCATAACAATGAGTAGTTGACAAGAATATCAAGATATTTTCATGGGGTGACACATGATTCAAGTTATGCTAAACTTGAGATATGAGAAGAGTCGTGACTATATCGTCTAATGGGAAATGTGGTCTTTCTAATATAAATTATTGTTGAGCAATGTTAATGATCAAATTGTATTGTTGGGCGTTGGCTCTCGCGCATTGCGCGTGAATGACGCTAGTACACTTAATAAGTATCAATTCACTCCACATCTAAATCAATTGTGTTTGATATATAAGTAAGAAGCATAAGATGTGGGACATTGGTCAAGATGATTCTGGGAGTATGGAATATATTGAAATACTTGAATTTGTCAATATATCGCTTGGTTAGCCTGAATTGATATCAGTCTTGTAAATGCAAATAACGAATCACATGCTGCATGAATTTAAATTTAAATATTAGTACTTTAGTTTTATTTTTTACTCTAATCTTTGACTTATATTATGGTTTCTAATTTTGAATTTTTATTATGGTTGTTAATTTTGGGTAATATTATTGCTTTATTTATAAAACTCTGGATTATATATATTTACAAATTGTGCCCTGTAATATTAATTTTTTTATCATTTATAAATTTGTTTTCGTACCCGTATCCTATACTTGTTGAAGTTGCCTATTGTCGTACCCATATTCGCGTATATGCATATCAATACACGTGCAACATATGACTTATCTATAAACTTACAGCGTGTTTGGCACAACTAGCTGAAAAGATAGTTTTATGAGCTCTTTAATAATTGTTAGCTTTTAGTGGCCGAAAAATCTAAAAAACAAAAGGTAATACTCCCTCCGTCCCACTAGAAGGTTCCCGTTACGGTTTAAGATGTTAAACTGACGATAAAGCAACTTAATCTCTGTTCACACTGATTTTTTTTTAGTAAATAAAATTTACATATTCAGAAACTACATTAAAACCGCTACAAAGCCTGATAAAAATGTAAATTTGATAAAAGTTTGATATATAAAGCAAGAAATCAAAATTGATTTAAGTTGACCATATGAATAGTGGACATGAACCTTCTAATGGGACAGAGGTAGTAGATGTTTCATAAGAAGCTACATGTTTGATTTAGAGCCCGTTTGGTAGCACCAAAATCAGCTGTTTTGGCTGATTCTGCTGAAATTTCTGAAGTTCTGGCTGAAGTGGCTCCATTGGCTGATTCTGGTGATTTAAGAAACAAGTATTTTTAAAATATTTTTTATCAATAAAATAAAGAAAAAGTATATGTAAAAATAGCAAAAATGGTCATCTACACTAACTTCAGCCAAAACAGTCAGAAAAGTAACTCCAATCTTACTTTTTCTGCTTATTACACAACTCAGCGTGCGAAAGTAAAAGTTACGTGTTTGGTGAAAAAGTTGACTGATAAGTCTGATAAGAAGAAAAACAGTGCTGCCAAACGACCTCTTAGTTCTATTTGTCATACAAGTTATTTGGATTCATTAATGTTAAAAGTTAGACTTTTCTTCAGATGTTATTCAATGTAGCATCTTAAAAGTGATCTTTTATTTTAAAAAACATTTAAAAAAATTCATGCCAAGCATTCAACAATTTCAACTAAAAGTCTTTGACGACTTTTTGAGCAGTACAAGAGCTAGAAGTTAGGGACTTTTGCAAATCAACATAATTCATTCATAAAAGTTCATGGATTTAAAATTCTATGAATTTTTTCAAAGGTCAATGTATTAAAAAAATCACTACAATCTAGTCAGGTATGCTTCCGCTCAGTTATTTCTATAAATAATTTGAATATGAAGATTAAAGTATTATCAGATTTATTCCAACAATATTTTCTTCAAACTTTAGTAAATAATGTGTCTTTAATGAAACAATATTGTATGAAAGCTGAAATTTCAAAATATCGGTTTCTTGATTTTAGTGTTTTTCTATTGAAGTTTGTTCGCAAATTATGAGCTCGTTTGGTGACCATATTTTTCGAATTATCAATCAAATTTTTTCACAAAACAAGTAACTTTTGATATTGCCCTCTAAATTGTGTAATAGTAAGAAAAAACAAGATTGAAGTTACTTTTCTAGCCGTATCGGTTGTTATTGTAGAGAGCTTTATAAATTTTTGCATACAATTTTTTCTCTATTTTCATACTCCGACCACTTAAGCCGCCAGAGCTTTATAAATTTCAACAGAATCAGTCAATACAGTCGATTTGGTTATTACCAAACGGGTTATGTCTCGTTGGAAGGTTCACACTTTCCTTATTTAGGTGTACCATTTAAAGGTTTTCATTGCACTTTAGGAAATAATTTACTATCTTTAATTACACAATTACTCAAATTTTTCTTTCCTACTCTTACACGTTAAATATCATAATTTCCCCTTTCTCACCTTATCTTCATGTAATTATTTTCACGTTATATATTTACTTATACTAAATTTTCTCTTTCCTTTTTTAGGCAAATTAATTTATTTAATCATCACTTGCCTAAAAAAATACTCCCTCCAGTTTTTAATAAACTTCACACTTTCCTTTTTGGGACGGTCTAAAATAAACTTCACACTTCCTTATTTCCTTTTTTGGCAAAGAAATCTACATCAAAACAGTGTTAAACAGTGCCAAACAATGTCTCAACAGTGTCAAACAGTGTCTCAACAGTGTCAAACAGTGTCTCAACAGTGTACTCTACAGTAAAGTCAAATTTCTTTCAGTGTCTCAACAGTGTACTCTACAATAAAGTCAAATTTCTTTCCTTATTTTGTGTGAAGTCAAAGTGTGAAGTTTAATAAAAACCGGAGGGAGTACTACGTACTTCGTTGTATGCAGTTATGCACTTCGTATGTGATAGAAGAGGCGCTTAGACAAAAAAGAAAACTGCTAACATGAGTGTCTCGGGACTGTCCATCAGGCCCAAATGAAAAAAAAATGAATTTGTTAGCAACTCGCGACCTTGCTGTTCATACACGGAGACTGCGGGTCTGTACAGCACTGCACCAGCTACTCAACGAGGCAGCGACCAGCCAGCCAACGAGAAGACGACTCTGCTGGCCGCCTACAGACTAACGGCTACCGAGCGCTGCCGGCTGCTCCAGCCCATAGATCCGACGCACGCCCAGCCTGATTGCAGGTCAGCCGCCGCCGCCACCCGCCCGTCTGCTGCACTGCCGCACCTACACGTCGTATAAATCCCCCAATTTCCGTCACTATTCAACAAGGTAAATTATTCTAGGTTAAGAATTTAATTTCAGATTGGGTTGGATTTTTTGCCATAGGTGGCTAATTCCAGATTTATTTACTGAACTTCTATGCTCAAAACTTGATATTCATACCATCATTGAGTATTCTTATTGAAAACTCATCATAGTATATTAATATGAGTATATGACTGAAGATATTGTTTAAAACTCATTATATTATGATTGAAAACTCGATGCTTTAATCTTGTAAGATGAAAATTAGTCCCATTGTTTAGTGTTAAACTAGTAAAACAATACTCATATCATTTTTAATATCATTGTGGGTATTAATGCCATTAATTGGACGTGTAGTATCAGTATGATAGTGATTGTTGTGAGTATTAATCTCATCGTTTAGCATTATTCCCATTAGCTTTTGTTAGTATCGATCCTATTGTTTCAAATATTGACCGTTTTACTTTGTGTAACATATCATATGATGTGGTGGAATTTGGATTGTAGTAGAGTTAAAAAAGGTGATCAAGATAGATTTAAGGAGATAATGTAAATCTTTCAAAAGAGAAGCTAATGAAGATATCATTATCAAGCTACACTTTTTATATTTGTGATGTGTTTTTTGTATTGAGAACCCTAAAAGTTTTGAATTTGTGATGTTTTTTGTAAATGACTTGGGTGAAAACTCTTATTCTTGTAAACTTCTATAATACTCCGGGTATCTATTTTTATATTTTATGCAATTGAAATTGAAACTATATTATATACTCAATATATGAATATTTTGGTCCCGCCTGCATTGGAATGCTAGACTGCTCCTAGGTAAGGGCACGGTGGCGCTTCGTTTGCACTTTGCATACACAGACAAGCAAACAACACTCTGTTACTATATTACATGCTGTCTAATAAAGTGTTTGCGCGTTTTACTCCCAAATCTAGAAGCATTAAATGTATGTTTTCTTTTTAATATTTTCTTTAAATTTTAGCAAATTATGTGTCTTCAATAAAACAGTCTCTTATGAAAGGTGAAAATTCTAAAATATCGCTCTCTTGATTTTAGTGTTTTGCTATTGAAGCACGTCCTCAGATTATATATACTTCGTTAGCTCAAAGTTGGTTGTAGATACGACTTACCCCATAATCTGTAGAGAAGAAGCTTCACAACTGTCTCTACACGGAGTTTTCAATCCATGGAGGTTTTGACTGACTTATAATAACATGTAATGGACTAATGGCTATGTCTGGCTCAATGTCTCGAATCAGGAGATTTTTTATTCTTTTTCCTGTCAAGCCATTTTATCCCTCATCTCCTATCCCCTGGTCAAGTTCAAGATACTCAAAGCCAATTGCAGATCTGTCATCAACGTCGGGATATAGAAATCCATTTATTCCTCTAAATATTTGGTGGGGGCAAAGAAACTTTAGTCATGGAACTGTGAATTTTGTGATATCTTCGGATGGGAAACCGAGATTTGAAACTTTAGAAACAGACCCCCCTAAGAAGGAAAAATGGGTTACAAAGAAACGGCTGAAAGAGAAGAGGAAGAGAGAGAAAAAGAAGAGGAAAGCGGCAAATAAGAGGGATCCCCGAAGGCTGGGAGTCAAGGGAAAGAAGAAGAAGCAGAAGTTTGCTACCGCTGAAGAAAGAATTAAGAACAAGATTGAAAATGCAAAGGTTAAAGAAGCAATGCTAGTTGAGAGATTAAAGCGTTATGAGGTTTCCAAAGTTCAAGGTCCTGAAGTCATGCCACACAACCTCACTGGGGAAGAAAGATTTTATATAAAAAGAATGGCCCAAAAAAAGTCAAATTATGTCCCGATTGGTAGAAGAGGTGTGTTTGGAGGTGTTATTCTTAATATGCATCTCCATTGGAAAAAACATGAAACTGTTAAGGTCTATTGCAAGCCTTGTAAACCTGGTCAAATAAAAGAGTATGCTGATGAGATTGCCAGATTGAGTGGTGGGATCCCGATTCAGATAATTGGTGATGATACCATAGTTTTCTATAGAGGTAAAGATTATGTGCAACCAGAAGTGATGTCACCAATTGATACACTGTCCAAGAAGAAGGCATTGGAAAAATCCAAGTATGAGCAATCACTTGAGTCTGTAAGGCGCTTTATTGCCATTGCTGAGAAGGAACTTGAACTCTATTACAGACATGTAGCTCTTTATGGTGATCCCAGTGACCGTAACCCTCATTCCATCCTTAATAGCTCTACAAGAAAAGAAGGGGGAGAGAAGCTCAAGGAGATAAAGGAGGATTCTTTAATGGCAAAAGAAGATTTTTATGAATCCGAAGTAGAAGCAGATTGCTCTGGTCGGGAGTTATCAGAATACGAAGATGGATCAGAGACAGAAACAGATAATTCTAACCAAGAGCTGTCAGATTACGATGATTGTTCAGACGAAGATCAGTTGGCAAGTGAAGCAGAATCTGTGGGTGAAGAGAGGTATCTATAAAGTTTAAGTTTTAGCTAATTTTGGTGTGAAAGTGGGCCTATTGCCTGCACACGTGTAGGAATTTGTTGGTAGAATCGATTGCTAACCTGTAAATTTAGATCCATTAAAAGATTCTCTTTCCTGATTTAAAAAAATTCAAGCTTTTTTAAAGTTATGTTGTTTAGGTTCATCTGTTTAAAATATGTTTATATGAATTCTAGGTTTTGTTTCAACTGAGAAGTGTGCTCTATCTATTTGGTAGTGGCGTGATACATTCCATTGATATGAAGTAGAATCTAGGCTTGGAAGAAGAGGGACAGAAGACCCCGTGGGTAAACTGAAGGCGGGACGGGCTTGACCCCACCTTCGTAGGCTGGTTGCGGGCTGTTTAATTAATATTTATTCTTTTTAATTTTCCTGATTTGTTTCCTATTTGGAGTTAATTAGGATTTCTATTATTTGTTTCCTATTTGAAGTTGATTAGGATCTTTATTATTTTGTTTCCTAGTTGGAGTTGATTAGGATTTGTAGGATTTTGTTTCCTAGTTTGAGAATTAGTACATGGGTATTTAAACCCCTTGTTAGGATTCATTCTGGCTCATCTGGGAATAAAATTGGTTTTAGCCTTTTGGCTCTGGGCAACGGTTCACCCCGTTGATTTTATTTTTCCGTTACATAACATCCATTTACTTGTTTACTTAGATAGTTACTAACACAAATAGTTGCTAAAAAATATTATTTGCATATGCAAGGAGTTACTGAAAGTTTCAATACTCCCTACCTTTTTTATTATTTGCTTTGTATTCCTTTTCTAAAAGTTTCTTCTATTTGCAATTAAGCTTGGTGAAACCCGTCCCAGAGCAAACAATAAACAATAGAGGCAGTATTAACTTATTTTTCACTTTTTGATAGAATATACAAAGGAGATGCGAAGTTCACAGGACGTACTGTAAGGTCTTGTTTATGAACCATAATTAAGAACTAAGATGGCTATCCTGTAAGTTCTTTTCATGATCAATGATCATCTTTTGTACCATTAATGCACGCAACTTCAAAAGCTTTCAGAGTATCAGGACCAAGTGCTTTAGTACCTTAAACACGTTGTTTTTCCATGGGGGAGGGGTGCATGAATTTTTTTCTAATCATCCTGGTGTATTTTGAACAGCTATATTTTTTGCAAGAATAGTACTCAGTGACTGAGTTGCAAACATGCATGAATATTCTAAAGTCAAATAGTTTGCTGCTTTCATCTAGATCATGAATGTAGTATATGGCCAAACCTTAACACGGATAGAGAGAAAGATGATGAATTATAACAGGTACTTATGAGAGATCTATATGTCGAGTTGTTCTCCTGGTGCAGAAACTATCTTGTGCCGTGCTTCTAGGACATACTGTCATTATGATTAGACCATAATGTCTCACTGATTTCATCTCTATCCACCTATGCTGTTACGTACTGAACCATTATGATATGGGTGTATTTGGAACAGCTATAATTTTTGGCAAGAATATTACTCCCTCCGTCCTAGGGAGAAGTTCCCGGGTTGACTTTCACACACATTAAGGAAATAAAGTTACTGGGGGGTAAATTTTACTGTTTGGCACTGTTTCGACACTGTTTGGCACTGTTTCAACACTATTTTGCACTGTTTTGCACTGTTTGACACTGTTTTGATGTAGAATAACTTTCCATTTAGGGAAATGGGAACTTCTTGTTGGGACTGCCAAAAAAGGAAATTGGGAACTTCTCCCTGGGACGGAGGTAGTATTCAGTGACTGAGTTGCAACATGCATGAATATTCTAAAGACGAATAGTTTGCTGATTTCATCTGGATCATGAATGTAGTATATGGCCAAACCTTAACAAGGATAGAGAGAAAGATGATGAATTATAACAGGTACTTATGATAGATCTATATGTCCAGTTGTTCTCCTGGCGCAGAGACTATCTTGTGCCGTGCTTCTAGGACATACTGTCATTATGATTATACCATAGTGTCTCACTGATTTCAATTCTATCCAGTATCCACCTATGCTGTTATGTGCTGAAACATTATGATCCTAAATGGGAATTTGAGAAGGGACTCAAACAAACATGTATGGCTATGCATGAAATAGTCGCTGGATTGGAAATCGGTTGAGATCCCTTACCTCGCTATCTTTTGAAATCAAAATTCTCTTAGTAGCTTTTGTGCTGAATTTTCTACTTGTCTCTTACTTTTATGTAACATATACAGTCTCCTAAACTATCACTTGCTCAGTTCCTCTGCCCCAAAACAAGAGTTTTCGTGCATGTTTTTGGTTTACTGAATTTATCATGAAAACTTGTTAGTAACCTTTTCGGGGAAATGTAAACGAAAATAAACTCGTTTTTAGAAAATGGTCTAGTTTTTGTGACCAAAACTAACTTTTGAAAAAGATCTCTTTCTTTTCGTACGGAGGGAGTCCAATAGCTAAGAATATGAATCTAGCAGTATCTATACCATTGAATACCTTTGACTAATAAAACACGATCTTAGTTATCTAACTCAATAACTAAATAATAACTAGACTTCAGTCTTCCAATGTTTCTGCTCTGATAGCCGTACTCTCCATTAGTGGTAAAGTCAGTGCAGACACCTATAGGTGTCCACTAGGAAATCAAATCACTAATAGTTCTGCTTGGGGGACTCAATGATCGGGTAGTGTTCCTATAGGGGTGAATTGCCAGTGGTTCTTCCGTAGGTGGGAAAGTGCTCTGCTTGGGCCCCAGTAGGGGTAGATTATCTACTAATTTCCTTTTTTGGTTATTTCTCCAGGTGCTTATTGTTTTTTCCTTTTCTTGTGAAAGTTTTCATATTATGTTTCCTGAATACACAAAGTATGATCTAGTATATGCTTATGGCTTACGTATTTCTTTTCGATTCGTGGTATAAAAGAGCTTGCCCATAACAGATTAACAGTCTAGTTTTTAAATATTTGATTACCTTTAAACAACCTAATTGCACCACTTTGCTACAAGCAAACTTGAGATGGCATTAAACTTTGGAAGAAGATACAAGAACTGAATTGGCACTCCTTGTCATAGTTTTGCTTTCTCGGAATAACCATTCTTGGGAATGAAAGGACAAGTACGTTAAAGAAGCTACCAAGCTGCTACTCTTAACACCTAAGGTCCCATTTTGTCATTTGGACGAAATATTAGGAGCCAAAAGCTTTAGAGGGTTAGGCTTTATTTTGATGTATTGAATATCTCAAAATATGAATAAAAAAGGTATTGAAATGTTATACAATCACATATTTAAAAAAAATCAAATGTATGTCAAAAAATAGACTAAGCCCTCTAAAGCCTTCACTTCAAATATCTCCATCCAAACCAACCTTGAAAGTTTAGAGAATCACTCAAATAAAGACCATTACCTCATGTCGTTGTGATAATATTAAATTGTAATAAGTGTTTGAGGAAATCAGCAACATTCCTTTATTTAAACATTCCCTTTTTTCCCTTAAAAAACATAAATTTATACATTTTTTTCCTGTTATCATAGTATGTGAAAATATAGATATGGCATTTCATATTCATCGTACACTTGCAACGTACCATGAGTATGGAAGTTTAATTTTTATCATTTTTTTTGCTAGGATGCATATGGCTTGTAATTTGAACCAGATGGTGAACCCGCTTGATCCATAGCAGTAGTCTGATGATGTTTTTCTACACCTTTCATGATCGAACTGTGACCAACTTTTTCATGCTTTCTGATTTCTTCATCAATATGCAGATCTTCATCAATGGTCAGAAAAGTAGTTTGTGTGCCATGTGGACCTGGGATAATCGCTTCATGAACTTTTATATGCTCATCCAGCTTTACAACATCTCTTTCTTTAAACATTCTTTTCTTTCTCTTTTTGATAAAGCAACATAGTGCCACAGAGAGAAATGCAAGAAAGAACAGACCACCAAGTGAGACAAATATAATGATGACATGGGAATGATGTCCAGGTGGCGGTGGAGGAATATATGGGTGTGGTGGGGGCTTAACGGCTGGTGGCGGTGGAGGAATATATGGGTGTGGTGGGGGCTTAACGGCTGGTGGCAGTGGAGGAATATATGGGTGTGGTGGGGGCTTAACGGCTGGTGGCGGAGGTGGCAGAGTATGTGGTGGAGGTGGCGGCTTGACAACAGGTGATGGAGGTGGAATTAAAGGACTTGGTTGCCTTGGTGCCGGAGGTGGTGGTGGTTTAGGGTGAGGTGGTGCTACCTTTCGTGGAGGTGGGGGAGGTTTGATGGGTGGGCTTGGCGGTCCCATTCTTGGAGGAGGGGTGTTAGGCTGATGTGGTGGTGCCACTTTTGGTGAGAATGGTGGGACTTGTGGTGGAGATTGAAATCCATAAGGGGTTCCTGGAGGGTAAAATGGGAAGAACTTGATATTTTGGATACCAGCCATTTCTTGTGTAATTAGTTAAACTAGTTAGAATATCCCCTTACTGTGTGCTCATCTCTATTGTCTGAGTGAGTTTTTATATTGGTGGTTTTTGAGTTATACTTTTAAGTTTCCTATTACTTGACTGTTATGTAAAGGCTTTTCTTCGATGGGGCTGTCTTTGATTGCACTGAAATTCACTCTTTTTAATTGCTCCCAATTGAAATTCGATATTTTAGAAACCCATTGCTTTTAAAGCAAGTAAGTTTGATATTCATTTACGTACAGTTTGAGCTAATGTTGAGGAAACATGTCACATTGTGTGTATATTTTAGCCCATGAACAAACACCCCCTAAAAAATTAAAGAAAAAAAATGCTCTATTAGAGTCAAAATATAGTTAAAATGTCACAATGAGTGTTTATACGGAGTATTTTATTTCCGTTTTAGGATCAATATTATCACAGGACCGAATCTTCTCTGTCACAATCCTCTCATATATAGAAAGTTCAACATTTTTGTAATTTCTAAATCTTCTTACGGAGTATTATGGATGTTAATTTACCTACTGCAGCTGAGATGACATTCTTTATTTCTGTACCATTGATTTTTGGATTTTTTACAAGAATATTACTAAAATAAAACATATTTACATAAATATGACTATTCATTACTACAATGTGGTGTTGTGATAACTTAAGCTCAAAACTTGAACATGAATTACTATGATTTCATTATTACTCTAGTCACTAGTCATTTTTGTAAACCATCTTTATTTTGATTATATTTATGTAATTATATCTTGATTTTTTATGCCAATCAAATGACATTTTTATATGAGTCAGTATGACATTTTCCTGAAGGAGATTTTTTTGTCCAGTTAATATGTCAATAAAGTGTCTATTTATGGAAATTTGTTTTGAGTCATCTTGTCGGTGCGCGTAGACGGCATAACTCAACTAATAGATAGGGGATGTCATAAGGAATAAGTCTCGTAGTTCGATTCCTATCATATGTGCCTCTTATGTAAAAATGCAAAGGACTGCAAGTACCTGAGTGAGAGTCTCACTCGCTGTCTACCAGTTTGTGAGTAAAGTTCAATTTACATCCTTCCAATTAACTGATCAGTGTTAGGGGCCCTCAGAGAGGAGGTGTTATACATTATTTTGAAGTCATGTTGACATTTTGATGATGACAATTTGAGCAGAAAATGTTAATTTGGTTTTATGATGATATTACAGCCCGATAAGGCGATAATGATGGTATAAAAACTATAAAGTTATACCAATAATGATGTCATTTTGATTTAAGATGACATTATCTATGAGTCAAAGATTACATTTTTAAAGAGAAAAGGGTCAAATACGGCCTTCTACTATTATGAAATAGTCACATAAGGCCATGTACTCAATAAAGTGTCATATAAGTACTTCTACTTGTAAAAAACAATCAAATGGGTCATAACGATCTATTTACAACCTCCTAATCCCGGTTTTAGATTACATGTCGATTTTTTTAACTTGTATTTCAACCAATCTTAGTTAAATATTCGACGTATGTCGTATAATCTATTCTAAAAAGATGGTCAGAAGTATGTTAAAACCGGGATTAAGAGGTGTTAAATAGGTCATTAGGACCCATTTGATTGCTTTTTACAAGTAGAGGTACTTATATGACACTTTATTGAGTACATGGTCTTATGTGACTATTTCATAATAGTAGAAGGCCTTATTTGATCCTTTTCTCATTTTTAAATGAGGACAATTTTGACATCTAATCCTACTTTTAGGGAAAAGAGTGGTGGTCCTATTCCCCTGTTCATATGAGAATATGAGATGTCTCATTTTGTAACCAACTACCATCTTTAATTTGTAGCAAAATTGGTTATAAACAACACATTTTTTGTAGTGAATTAGATCTGGCTGGGGAAGATATACACTATTATTAGGGGAGGTGGAGAAGCTAAGAACCAACACAAATTAAGAGAAGAGTCAAAGAAGCACTCAAACTATATTATCAATTCTGTATTTGAGTTAAATACATCACTCAATCTATTATGGAATGTAAAAACAAGTCTAATATTTTTTACAACCGGTAATATGATAACTTTGAGTTGCTTTTTGGTGTGTTTTATCGACACAAACAAGTATTACCTCAATCCTACTCAACTTATCTAATTTCATATTGGGTGTATATTTGGAAACAAGTATTATCTAAGTAGACAACCACAAGTGTATTTCCTTAAAAGAAAAGTACCAAAGTTTAAGAGAGAAACAAGAAAAAGAAATTAACAAGTGCAGTGATACCGTGGAGTAAAAAACGCTTTAAGTGCTACCAGTGGCGTATCCAGAAACTTTGGCGAGTGGGGCAAACTTGACTACAATTTAGTCTCATATTTCACAAATAACAAATCACATTATTAATATTGTTTGATTAAATTTAGTTTATAATATCTATGTACAAGTATGAAAAAAAGAAGATTAATTTATATTACGGGTGTGTAAAGATGTAATTGCAAATAAAATGTAATAAATTTACCTAAATATAAGTTAAACAGTCTTAAACATAACATAATTTAGTGAATTTTTTAGCCTTTCATTCTTTTAATATTAAAGAATACACTTCTAATCCTATTTTAGAATTTTTTTCTACATTTAACTCTTAATTTGAGTAATTTCTTGTAAAAATTTGGACATATATATAGGGGTTGGGTTGGGGTTGAGTGGGGGCAGCTGCCCCCGCTGCCCCCATAGTAAATACGCCACTGTAATAGTTGAAGGACTTCGACTCTTTTCTCTTAAATTCTTATTGCACACAATTTTTATACACAACATTTTATGTATACACGTCATTGTATGTGAATAGCTTTTTGATTAACATAACATGTTTTACGTGTGAATAGATTATTCATAGACAAAAAATAACGTTTAGAGATATGGATAAGATGATGGGTACAAAATATATAGTATGCAAAAATAAACAAATGAATGAAAGAATCAATCGATCGGTGGTGCTGAGAGTGTCGACTGCCGAGTGCTGATAGCTTCCTCGCATGCGTTGCAAGTTTTTTTTAACGAAAAGTTGAAAAGATAGAAAAGGTGGATCCCATTAATAAGAGTAAACAAATGACTACTTCATTATTCTCCCATTTTATACAGCACTAAACAATTCTTGATAATAATTTGATATTATCAGTAATAAAATACAGAGTATATTTACGCCAAAACTCACTTTTCATAAAAAATTCTGTAATATATATACCCTTCTATATTTGGTACACATGGCATTGGGTAAAATGACACGTCGCACAAAAATGTTGGCATTTAAATTCTGGCATGCAAGAAACCATTTTAATTACGGATCATCAGTGTTATAGCCAGCTATTTCTCAGCCACTCTTGGTTGACTTTTCTTCCTATTCTGTCATCTGATCTCTCTTTCAATCAATATAATACTTCCTTTTATTCCTATTCTCGAAAAGGCCGGTGGGTTATAATAATGCAGCTGCTTTGCTCATCTTCCTCTGCCGGAAATGCAAAAGTTGTTCTCTGTTTGGCTGCTGCAGCTTATGTTCTGTGCTTAACATTGCTTCAAGAAGGTGTTGCAGCAGAAAGGGAACTGATGGTTGGGTTTTACTCCCAAACATGTCCTAATGCTGAATCTGTCGTGGCCTCTGTCGTCAAGGAAGCATCAATGGTCGATCCAAGGGTGCCAGCCATGTTGCTTAGGCTCCACTTCCATGACTGTTTTGTTCAGGTTCCTTCATTTATAAATAATGATGAATACTACGTATATGAGTAAATTAATGTTAAATTATTTGTCTCACACTGAAAAGTTATAAACAATGAAACATTATATAAGACTATAAAACACTATATAAGAATTTAGTTTAATCCTCTTATAAAGTTGACATTTAATAATGAAATCCCGATTCTTAACAAATAAAGTAGGAGACAAAGATGAGACTCTTTATGGACAGTGACTACAAGAATAATGATCATTATATTCAACTTTTACATTGCATTGATCAATATATTCATATGTAGTCCTTGAAAATTATTACTCCATCGCCATGTCAGTTTAGGGGTCAGGTTTAAAGAATTTATGTGAGATCAAAACTTAAAATTACACAATTTTTTAAACTGAAATTTATGTGAGATCAAAAATTAAAATTTCACTATTTTTTTAAACTGCTTATACACATTTATACGTATGTACATGCATCACAAATTTTATTCTAATTCCTAGCTCCCTGTCTCCAACATTGTCCGTTGTGATCACTGTAGTGTAAAATTTGAGTATAGTCATAATGTTGCTAATATGGTCGGTGCACACAAGATAATCACATTTTTGTCCACTATTAGTATTTTGGTTATATATATATATAAGTCATTTTCCAGTGTTTAATTTAAAGAAATAGTAATATATATGTGGGATTTTGAAATTTTCCATATTTTTTATAAAAGGGGTGCGATGGATCGATTTTGATAACCAACAATGAGATTAATGGCCAAAATGAGAAGGAAAGAAGTGCATTTGGGCATCAAGGTGTGGGCGGAGATGAGGAGATACAAAGAGCAAAAACGTTGTTGGAAGATGAATGCCCTGGCGTTGTCTCCTGTGCTGATATTGTCGCTTTGGCTGCTAGAGATGCTGTTGTCTTAGTAAGTCTTTTTTCCTTTTCTACTTTTCTTTCCTTCAATTTTATCTTTTTTTATTATATACTCCCTCCGTCCCAGGGAGAAGTTCCCGAGTTGACTTTCACACATATTTAAGAAATAAAGTTACTGAGGGGTAAATTTTACTGTTTGGCAATGTTTCGACACTGTTTGGCACTGTTTCGACACTGTTTGGCACTGTTTTGCACTGTTTGACACTGTTTTGATGTAGTATAACTTTCCATTTAGGGAAATGAGAACTTTTTGTTGGGACTACTAAAAAAGGAAAGTGGGAACTTCTCCCTGGGACGGAGGGAGTATATAGTTTTGTGAAATTGCTAATTATAATTAATATAATATGTATAATTGTTCAACCTTAAAAATACTGGGCCCCATTCAATTCATATTTAGGGAATTTCAAAAGCCTGGGCCTCTCCGATTTTTGCATTTCCTCATATTTTATTCCTATTTGGGGAATTACCTCTATTGCTAACCCCATTCAATTCATATTTTCTTCTATTTAGTGTTAATTTAAAGAGAAGTGATTTAAAGCATAGGCACAAAATGCAAGGGGTCAACGAAACTGAGTTCTATTTGAAGTAAAATCTTCTAAATTAATAA